GTATGCTGTTAAGACCGACTCACAATCCATTGAGGATTTTAGTAGGTTGTACATTATTTTCGCTTGCAACACTTTCTTATTGCCAAAGGGCAACTTTCAATTGCCGAGGTACGTTTATCCACATGTTGACAAATTGGAGCGCATAGGAGATTTTGCGTGGGGAAAATTGGTATATGATGTGCTCAATGAAAATATTGAGGCACACTTGGCTGGAGCATGAGGGTATTTTGATGGTTGCACCATTCGATTGTTGGCATGGGTGAGTGAAAGGATCACTTCTCTCGGGTACGTAATAAGCGTTTTCAAATACCCAAGATTTTTCCGATGGTCCGACTCCAAAATACCAGCCGATGAACGTCAAGCTAAACATGTTTTTCGGGAACTCACACCAGACAAGGTAACAATTTGATTTATGCATTTTCATTGTGTTATTTGCTTACCTAATAAACATGTTTATATGTTTATTAGGTTATATCATTCTCCGTGGACAAAGAAGAGAAAAAGTTTATGGTTTCACCTGTGAGAACTATCTGGTCCTATTGTTGCTTTGGAGGTCGGTGGAAAAATGGAAGTCAGGCGTGTAAGTAAAGAGTACTATTAATGAGATGGACATGCCCCATTTGTAACCCAACGTGATGTTGTTGTATTACACTGATCATTGTTTATTTTATGTGAACCGCAGCAGCATTCTGGAAATGCCATTCTTATTTTTGGATATGCACAACAAGTGAAGAGGAATAATTTGGGATTGGAAGAGACAGAAGGGAAGAAGAAGAAAAGAAAAGCTTTTATTTTTTAAGAGGAAGAGGAAGAGGAAATAGAAGAGCAAGATGAAGGGAAAAAAGAAGTGGAAGAGGAAGATAATTTTTTTAATGTTGTTGAAGAACTTGGAGATGAGGAAAGAAAACGAGCAAGAAGGAGAACAAGAAGAAGAAGAAGAAGATAAAGTAGAAGAAACCTTGGATGAAGTGTTGAATATGGAGAGGGAAAGAAGGTCGAATGTAAGAGAAGACAATCGAGGAAGAAAGAGTCGAGGACAAGGACGCAGCGTAGTCTCTACTAAACTACCCACAACAGTAATTATGATTATAATTTAATAATAACTATTATTATTATTACAATTATCACTAATGATTACTTTGGATATAGGTTGTCGTAGATAATTCTACATACCATTGGAGAACATACTATGTATGTCGAGATGAACTAACTGATGTAGAGAGGGCAGTACTGGATGGGTACTTGGTTGATGTTGATTTGAGGTAAAATCACTAACTTACTGAACATATGGTATATAACAACTTCTTATGTAGTATCGGTGTACTAAACAAATAGTGCATGTTTATTTCTATTGTAGTACAATTGTGATCGAAAGAGGCCCAAATGTATTGACTGGAAAGCATATGTGCGATATTTTGTTTCATCAGCATCTGAGTGTGGAACATATCAACATATACATGAGTCTGTTAAATTCTGAAGCGATCATGGATGAGCATGGGCATGAGATTGATTACCTCGAGACCCCAGCCCAGGTATAGACTGGTTTAACAAATATGTTGCATTCTGTGTATACTAGTTTATCTTTTTTTTTTTTATTATGTTTTGTAGCATGAGATACTGGCACGAGATTGAATCGACTTAAAAAAGATGGATGATACAGAGTTGGGTACTTTTTTCAAGAGCTTAACATATTTTCGATCTACCGCAGTTGAGAAGCTTGGAATAGCACGTCTCTACAGCAAAAAATATGTTCTGATACCTATAAATCGCAAAGATCGCTGGTTCATGCGTATTGGACCCTAACGGAAAATAAATTCGGCATTGGAACTCCCTAGCGCATTCTCCGACGAGCCCAGGAATTGCAAATTATATCGTAAGTCCTCAAATCGATGATTACTTCTTTAACTTATATATTGGGGAATGTGATATAGTTTGGGTATTGTGATTGAACGGTACAACAATATGGTAATGAGAATACATGTATACTTATATAATAGTATATTTTTGTAGGTCAGTTATTATAGCAGGGTGATTGAAAATAAAACTGCGTTGGAGATACCTTCACGTGTCGAATGGGGCAGAAGGATGCAGACAACAAGATTGGAATGATGATAGCGGCATTTTTGTCTGCATGTGGGCATCTTGCCATGCTAGAGATGATGCTGAGACTTGGGAAAATGCGAAAATTTGCTTGATCAAAAACTCCGTCCAAAACTAGCACTTGTCTTCTTAAAGCACCAGGGAGTGGATAGGGAGCCAGTAGATGCTGATGCTTTGAGCATATTTTGAAGGATTTTGAAAATGATTTTTGGGTTGTGATTGTCATGAACAATCTGTTTTTGATTGTCTTTGCATGAACAAGTACTTTTAGTTTAGGTTTTCCGTACGATGATGGTATTAAACTTGTACCCTTTTTGTGGTGTTAAGACACCAATTTTAAATATTTTAAGTTTTTTGCACATTGATTTTTAATACTCTGATAGTTTCTTGTCGATGCGTATAACTTATCCCATCTATACCATTACCAAAAATGAGAAATACCATAATGTTGATGACTAGAATTGCTCGAATTTTTTTTTAAACATTTGTGATTCATAAGTATGGAAAAGACATATAATAGGTTTTAAATTAAGGTTGTAAGGTTTTTTTCAGGTTAGTTTTGACTTTGGGGTCCAAAATGGAACAAATGTGTTGAATTCCGAACAAGATACACTACTAATGTACAAGGCTTCTATGTATAAGTGATTGTTTTTCATCACAAGTGATCATATTCAACACCTATCAACTCCCAAGTTGTCTCAATTCTTGTAAATAAGTCACAAAATGAATAAATGAGGGATGAGATGGTTTTCTATGGTCGTATTGACCCCAAGTGATACTATAACAAGGGTACCATTAGTACAGTACATAAGGACTATATCATTGGCACACGGATACTAAACTACCGTTCCGTCCATCCATACACATGCCACCGCATATTCTAGTCGTTACACTAACCAATACCATAATTTTGATAACTTGAATTGCTCTATTTTTTTTTTTACACATTTGTGATCCATAAGTATGGGAAAGACATATAATAGGTTTTAAATTAAGGTTGTAAGGTTTTTTCAGGTTAGTTTTGACTTTGGGGTCCAAAATGGAACAAATGTGTCGAATTCCTTACAAGATACACTACTAATGTACAAGGCTTCTATGTATAAGTGATTGTTTTGATCACAACTGACCATATTCAACACCTATCAACTCCCAAGTTGTCTCAATTCTTGTAAATGAGTCACAAAATGAATAAATGAGAGATGAGATGGTTTTCTATGGTCATATTGAACCCAAATGATACTATAATAAGGGTACCATTAGTACAGTACATAAGGACTATATCGTTGGAACTATAATACGTAGATATTGTACGATCTATGTGTGAGTTGTGCACGTGATATATCGAACCGTAAAACAACAATAACTATAACTATATTGTATGAGTACATTTCTTACGAACAACAATAATTGATTCATCGATATAGTTAATTTATTTAGATGTACCCAACGTACTTATGCATTCACATTACAATACGGATTAACGAGCTACAATACACGACACTAACTTTTGACTCGTACGATTACGGTGATTAATTAAGAAACATTACATAGGTTTGACAAATCATGTAAACTGCAAATATTACTAGTTTAACACTATCAAACTTTGAATTACTCCAACTTCATCTTTTGGAATTCTTCACTTTACTTTCGCGATGAACTTGGTTCGTCGATCCACCCGTAGCTTCACTTTCTTCATATCGAGAATAGTTGTGGGAGAAAGTTTGCCCAATTTCAAATGGCTCACACCAATGAGAATAGCCATGGTCTGGGCAACAGTAAAATAGCCTCCCTGGATTCAAACTTGTCTCCGAAACCATGATTATTGTTTTTTTCCCACAATCACGACGCTTGCAGTTATCTTTTTTATATTTTAAGCTACTCTTTTGAGAGTTGCTACTGGAAGAAGCCATGAATGAGAAGCAAATGAACATAATTACGTGCTATTTATAAGTTCTGACGAAAAATAACGGTTATATTATTGTAACGGTCATAAAATTCAAATCGATTCATTTATTATTCTTCTGTGCACTATATTATGTTGTAAGTTATGCCATATGAATGTAACAACAATACTATTATAACTAAAGCAGTGCGCCCTATTGTAACTAAAACATTCATATCATGGTACATAATACAAATAGATAAAACAGAGTGCAAATGGATAAATAGTACGAAGTACATGTCAACAAAGTTCAAACAATATAAAAAGAAAGTAGAAACAGCCACGTTTGATTCGCTGCAATCCTTGTGGGGAGATGGGAAACCACATATGCTCTCCTCCACCTTGTCATCACTGATTGTTGCTACGGGACTGGTTGTTTGTAAGTACGGGGATTATGTCCAGGTTTACCACACCGTACACACTTCGTAACACGGGTTTCAACTTGCGATGGAATTCTTTTCGTCCTTCTACGGCCTGGTTGAGCTTTCGATGCAGGTGCATTAATAAATACATCTTCCGGACCATGATTTGTTTGTGCATTGTACAAATCAAATTCTTCATCAAATAAAGGAATTGGATTAATTGTGTACTTACATACTTCTTTGTACAAATCAACCCGGAAACAATGATCAACAAATTCAAATACCGAATATCCTTTCGACTCAATACATGCACATGCATGTTTGCACGGAAGTTTATCCAATTACCAAGATTTGCAAGTACAGATCCTAGTCTCTAAATCAACACCATACAACTTATCCTCTTCATACAACTCATAACGCGTACCACTGGATCTGGTATATTTTAATAAGCGAGAGGCCGTATAGTTGATTAATAATCTCTTTTCAACTCTTGGACACACTGTACCAGCCACGACTAAAGCATCTTCCCTTCGACTACCTATCATCTTCATTATTTTGATTCGTATCGTATCAATCGTGGATGGAACTGGCCAAGATCATTCATCTTTAACCCAACCATTCCAGCATTCAACTTGGTTATTGTTCATTATTCCCAATCTATCTGCAGAAAAGTACGCATTGGCCCAACGATTGGGATCCGAGTCTCGGATAAATGATTCAGCACGAGGCATTGATTGAACTATAAGAGAAATATGTTCCTCAAACTCTTGCCGAGTATGAGCAATTGCAGCCTTATGTAGAATATTCACCCTATATCCTTTGTTGTGCAATGGATACGATCTTAGAACCTTCGTTCTAAAGTTATCCTCCAAATTTTGCAAACAATAAGCATGGTTGCTACCAGGAAATACCAATGGAATGGCTTTAATAAGCCCCGAATGACGATCAAAGAAAATTGTGTAGTTTTTCAATAAACCTCCATTGTGATAAACAAAAATATCTTTCAGCTTATTACAAAACCACTCCCAATTTCTATTATTCTCGGCATCAACAATTGCATAGGCCAATGTGTATAACTCATCATTTGGATCTTTGGACACAGCAGAAAGTAAGCAACCTTTGTACTTATTTTTAATATGAGTCCCATCCAAACATATCATTTGCCTACACCCACGGTGGAAACCCAAAATAGAATTTCCAAAACTAATAAAGATCCGAAGAAACTTTTGAGTTTCAGGGTCAATCTCACAATCGGCACAACTACCAGGGTTATTCAGTTTTAATGCTCGACAATAACGTCTCAGTTTATCATAACAGTTGGACTCATCCCCATGAATGTCATACATTGCTTTTTCCTTACCTCTCCACGCCGTATAGTACTTAAGCTTCACACCGTACTTTCTTTGGACCTCATTCAAAATAGCAATTGGTTTGTAACTTGGCTCATCTTTCAATTGTTGTTTCATAAGTTGCGAAACCCATGTAGCATCGGCTTTGGGATGACCCCTTGTACGAAGAGTAGCATCACGACAACTGTGCTCAAGAATACATTTGCAAATGCCGAATAACTTTTCTGATTTATGAACTGATGCATAAACCCTCCATTTGCAATTTTCAACAATGTAGACGGCTATGATCTTTTGTTGATCATTTTTCTTGTATTTAAAGGTTCGATTGTTAGCAATGCAGTAATTTTTTAGCATAAACCTAAAATCATTATCTTCTTTGAAATTTTGTTTCTCCCCACGTATGCAATGTCTCCATGCATCAATTGAATCTCCAAGCGGATTGTACTCAATTTGCAACGTACTGTTGGAATTAACAGACTCACTGGAAAATGCAAAAACAATGAAACAAATTGGATTATTACAGTGGACTACAAATAAATTGTAACAATTGAAATAAGTATTTTTAGTGGAATGCTTGCATACGAGAACTCCATTTCTAAGATACTAGACGTACAATCATTCCATACGATCTGTAGCCTTATATGATACTACGAGCCTAGTTATTCCACACTATCACTATATTAACACGATACTATTTAGTATTATATTCTATGCTATGATCACAGAAACAAATTAAAAATGCATACAAAACAGAATGGGGGCAAATCCGTGGCTGGGGACCCTCTTTCTACGTCCATCAAGTTCATCAGTGCGGCTCACCACAATGTCGACCACACTCATGTGCATTATCAAATGAAATGTAACCATATTCACCACGTCTTCGTCAGAAGTCAGTGTGACAAACATTCTTTCACGAGGAGCCAAGTATTGGAGCACCAATTTGTCGGGACGTATATCGTTCCACTTCATTAAGATAGATTCATAGATCTCCCTTAAAGTCGAATCATTCTTAATGGAAATGATGTGCAGATAATCGCGGTACCGACAACTTCCAAGAATACCAGCGGCGAGGGGGTTTGATTCACCATTTGCTGCCATTGTGGGAAATTTCAGTTTTTTTTTCGCGGTCGGGAAACAAAAAGTAGTAACAGAGAATACGAGTAAAATGAGAGGAGAGAGAAAGAAAAGAGAAAAAATGGAAGAAAGAGGAGAGAGGAGATAGGAGAGAGAAAGAGAATAGAAGAAAGGGAAGAAAGAGGAGAGAGAGTGTATAAAGTGAAAAAAAATGGGGCCAAGGACTGTCCTTAACTGCATGTTTATGTTTGCTTTAGGGACTGACCCACTTGTGAAACATTGCTGGAGACTGACCCGCATAATATGTTTTGAGTTATTTTTCGTTATCTGTACTTACCCCTAGTAAAAAATAGATTTTTTTCGTTTTTTCTTTTCGGATTTAAATATAGGGATCCACCAATTTTTTATCCCGCGACTACTCGAAATACTCGTTCCACTAAATGTAGGACCAATTAAAAGAAGGGACAATTAGCCATAACTCCCTCTAGTATTTTTTTAATAAAGGGGGGTCCAACTATATTTTCAATATTAGTAGAAAACCCACTATTTTAATGATTTCCGAAAATAGCTTCTGGAAAACACACAAAAAATCCGGAAATTTGCGATCTCTACAATCGTGTGTGATTGATTATATCCCAAAAAAATCGCTTCTCAAATCTTTCCATAAGCTCCCATCTGCAAACTCTAATTTTTTTAGGTGTTTTTACAAATAAGCCAATAAATGGGTACTTATTCGTAAAGAGATCCAGACAATAAACTCCTTTACAAAAAAGTCCACACATGGTTCAGATTTTTGTAAAAGACTAAAATAGCCCCTCATACTTTAATATGCTCCAATTTCATAATTTAATTTAATTTAACCTCAATTTGACCCCAAATTTCACAAACTATTCAATTTTGACCCAAAACACATTTTTATGGACAATTTCGTCTGTCACCGCTGTTGACTGCCGGTCAACCGCCGTTGACCGCCGGTCTCCGGCGTTGACATTTTTTTTTCTTTTTCTAATTTTTCCGCCACCGGTTTCCGGCGTTGACTTTTTTGAATTTTTTTTTCTTTCTTTCTGTAACATTTTTTTTTCGTTTAAACAACAATATTGTTGTGATTGACAGTAATATTAACTATATTACTGTTAAACACATTAAAATTAACTATACTACAGTTTTACACAGTAATATTGTTATATTAATCTCTAGCACAGTAATATTAACACAACCAACTCATTGTTATTGTGTAATAGAGTAATATTACTATGTTGACCGTTCAACAAATGTAATCATAATAAAAAGCCAAAATAATTAATATTACTGTGAGTGACAGTAATATTACTATAACAACAGTAATATTACCATCAACCACAGTAATAATACAATAATAGACAATAATATTATTACGTTACTCCGTGAATAACTCAAACAAACAAAAAAACTTAAACAAGATAATAATATTGATGTGGTTGACAGTAATATTATTGTGTTTACAGTTATTTTACTGTCAACAACAGTAATATAATTACGTTTACTTGTCAACAAATCAAACAAAATAAAAAAAAATAACAAAAAAAAAATAATATTATGTTGATTTACTCGTTATAACAAAAAAAATCAGAATTTTAGTCCTGTAAGTTATAAAAGTTGGGAATTTTGGTCCTATGGCCTGCTATAACAAGTAATGTGATGGTTGGTTGGATGAGCTGACATTTAAAATATAAAAGTAAATAGATTAATAATAAATTAGGTGATGTGGCTAATGAATTGAACGATTTTGGAGGAAAATAAAATATACTATCAAATTATTATTTATTTGATGAATGAAATAAATATTTTTGTAGTAACTATTTTTTAATTAATATTTCATAGTTTTCAATTGATAAAAATAGTAATTAATTATATTTTATTACTCGTTATGGATATTTGTTACTGTTGGTTTGATAATGTATTTTATGTTTGGAGGCTCTAGAATGCTTTTTTGATACATTTAATTTAATAGAGTTTTGAATATGTTTTATTATTTTTTTGGTTGATTCGTAAATCTGTATTTGATTTCTTATACTAATTATGATTGTGCATGTCATTAACTTTACAACAAGGTTTAATAAATGGTTTTTTTTTCCGGGTTTTATGTTGAATTTGATTGTTGGTTCAATTTCATTGTACTCACTAAGTATAGATTTGTAAAAAAATAAAATATTTAGATAAATATGAATTTAATTACTATTTTTATCAAATAAAAATTAAGAAATAATTAATTACACATTAGTTAGTCTTATTTCCTTGGTAAAAAATATAGTTGTAGATTTTATTCAATGATTTATTGTGGTTAGTTATTGCAAATATAACAAAAAAATAAATATATGAATTAATATGTTAAATTTTCCTTATTATTTTGGTGAATTTGACATTAAGGATCAAAATTTTCTCCAAAACCATTCAACGTATTAGCCCCATCTCCTAATTTATTTTTAATCTATTTATTTTTATATTTTAAATGTCAACTCATTCAATCAACCATCACATTACCTGTTATAGCAGGTCATACGACCAAAATTCCCAACTTTTGTAACTTACAAGACTAAAATTCTGATTTTGAAACATGGTGGACTAAAACTCTCAACTAGTAAACTTACTGGACTAAAAAATTCATTTTGCTTTGATCAAAATGTAGGGAAAAGACCTTGAAACTTACACCAACATATCAAGTAACGCAAAAGGGAAAAAAAAAATTAAAACACACATACCGTCACAACTGTGACTACTCTATAAATCGATATAAAAATTCAAATCATTAACGATTCTTTGCATCCAACTTGAACGACACAAAAAACCATAACATTTTGTTCTGAAAAACCATACACCGATAATTGAGAATACAAACAGTATAATACACCAAACAGTTACAAAAACAAAAATTAATGCAGAGCCTCTGACCTTCTCCACAAAAGCTTTCCTCCAACAACAAACACAGAAAAGTACAAACGACGACAATTGAACTCGAGCTCAACAAATTAGACTTGCGCTCGTTATCTACTGAGCTTGCAAATCGAAAGAAATCACGTCCGACTAGAAAAAGGGAAACAATTATGGAAAGATATCATGATTATATATTCAATTTATTTTATTTGATTAATAAGGATACTTATGTCTTATCACGTTTGGTAAGGTGGTTTCACTAATTAAAATTGGATTGTGAATTTGTGCAAAAATCTTGAAAGTCAAATAGGTTTTACTAATAATATTTTTCATTTGAGGGATTGCATATTTCCCCATACAAAATTATATGACCTCTTCTTATACTAAGCATTTTAAGTGGTCTATTATATTAAAAAAAAAAAAAAATCATTTATTCAAGAATGGTTTTGACAAAATAAATATATTATGTTTATTTCACTTAAATATTCAACCAAAGTTTTGTGGAAATTCAACTTTTTTTTCCAACACACAACAAAATAGATGACACCGGTCATTAAGAGACTTTTTATCCTACAACAATTATGCAATGCCTAAACAACCTCAACAAAGCAAAGTGTGCATGCGTCATATCTTCGTTCAAACAGTTCAAATCCCCGTCATGTCGACATCACCATTGTTTTTCTGCAGAGTTTCCGAGGATCAAGTCAATAAGAATTCAAGAAACAGGGGATATGCTATTTCCATCCTCATAAATACATCACAATTACAAAATTATGCTTTACAGTTCTAAGATAGTGACTTTCGTGGGGCGCACGCATCAAATATACGATACTGTAACGGTGATTGTTCAATATGTTATACACATCAAGAGACTTAACAACTTACGATTTTTGCAGCGAATGTAGGCATCAAAAGGCACGATGATTATGCAGCCTGAGCAAAGGCAACTTGACATGCACTGGATCTTCGTCTAAATACTGAGATCTCATGGAGTAGATGAATCTTTTCCTTAGATGCAAGGGATCCGGGATACGATATCTCCATCCTCTCCAAGACTTTAGCATTCCACAAAAGATATTCTATATATCCAAACTCGTGCTTTTTACCTTTGACGTTAACAAGCTTTACAATTTTAAGATGTGATAATAGGCATTTGGGCACTTGTTCGGGTTCCTTCCACTCTTCTATTTCTCCACAAAACTGATCACAACAACAACAACAACGGGCTTTCTTACATTCACTTATGCAAGAAAGTAAAAAAGAAGACATAAAACGGAAAAGCTAAAAATATTTTCTTCAATAGAATCAACAAACCTCGGAAAAAATAAGGATTTCAAGATTATCAGCTTTTTCAAGGAACTTGGAGAGAAAACGGCCGTCGGCAGTCAATTCGAGTTTGGTTAAGTTACGAAAACTTGCATTCGAAGCATAGACTACCGAGTCAACAATCTGTAAAACAAATAAGTTGGACAGACAGTACAAGATTGTCATATAACCAAACAAATGGAGAATGAGCTGATCAAAGATCGAAACCACACCTTTCGACAAGATGATAAAACTAATTTTAGGCGCTTGACGTTGCAAAACCTATCAATGAATTCCAACAGAGATCGAGAATAAAGAACATAGTCTGGAATGTTATGGTCAGTGACAAGATTGATATCTGCTTGAACTAAGGAGTTTAGCATCCCACATTTATTATGCTCCGAGAAAGAATCACTTATCTTGAGATATTCAAGTGCAGGAGTATTTATCTCCAACCTGTCGGATCTACCACCATTGCCATGGGATCGAAAATTGAGCATGAGCCTTTTAATTGTAGGTGAAGATATGTTACGATAAACCGTACCATGGGATAATTGGATTGACAGCTCAGCAAGCACCGGACAGCCGGAAATAAGGTGGATAAGGGACTCATCAGCCTCGAAATGAACATAAATTAGATGAAGCTTCGTGAGGTGAGGCAAACACACGGCGCCGCGGCGTACGGGGATAACGCCGCAAGAGCGGAGCCTCATAGAAACAAGTGTTTTGCAGGTGAAGAGGCATCGAGGCAGAGCATCTTCTTCAGATAGAAAACGAAGATCGATTTTTTGCACGTTCCGTAAGGTGGCGAAGGTAACCCATGTCTGCAGTTGATAGTCGCTGCATTCAATCTCGTGAAAGAGGCGGAATATATTGATGGTTTGAACTCTGCGCAGCAGCATAACACTGTTGACGATTTCTTGGTTCTCGCTGTGGAAAAATAAATTGGGGACGTAAGCCCAGAGATACCTCCATCTTCTACTTAGAATACTGGTTCTTACGGAGTTATTTGTCCGGAGATAAGAGAGGATGTGACAGAGAATCGACTCCGGCAATTCGCTGATTCTGTCGATCGACGCCGTTGCCTGCTCCACCTCCCCGTGCGAATGTTTCAGCCGCTTTCTACTCTGCTCTTCTGCCATGAAGTAAAATGGGAAAACAAACAACGATTTCTGGACTCAGAATAACGAAAGTAATTCAGACGGTGAAGGAATTTTGGACAATGAATCTTTGATTCTCGCTCTTTGTCTGTTAGGTCTGAAGTTGGATTTTTCCCCCAAATTCAGTTTGGGACTTGTAGTCTAGGGGTGGTAAATAGTAATCGAGGGTTTTTTCCTACCCAAATGCAGACCAAACTTCATTTTTTATATGGGCCCATTTGATATAGCAGTCATTACAAATAAGCTAATCAAATAGATTATTTCTCAACAAATCAAACCAAAAAAAAAAAAAAAAAAAATAATAATAATATTATATTAATTTACTGTTAACGGCAACATAATTACATAAATGTATTGTCAACGGCAGTACAATTACGTTAATTAATTGTCATTGACAGTATAATTACGTTAATTTACGCAAGATACAAATGAAGTGCCTGCAAGAACCTTTTGATTAGTTAACGTACACAGTACGATCCCTTCGATTCATATGTCTCGATTGAACTAGAGGCATTGGTTCATCGAGACCTCCTTAGTAGTTCAATGATTGTGCGATCGTTCTAAGTGTTGTAATCGTTACGTGCATGACTTAAAGAATCGAATTCTCTAATCATCACCTAGTCAGCTCTGGCCAAAGACTTAGAGATTACAAACTATGAGAACACACAGGACATCCAAGACTATTCTAGCGATCAAATCCCCGACTACAATGCACAGACCTCCCACTAGATTTCGAACTACACGAACACTGGCCCTTGGGGCGGTCCTCGGTGGAACTCAGGGACAGGTCACGATACAGCTGGTCCTCTAGTGAAGTCACGGTGATGTCTAGGTCATAAGGACTAATGGTGTACAACTATACCATAGATATCTCTACTCGATTATTGAGAACCACTTAGAGATTTCTAGGGTGAGGGAGTTAGTGAACTCGTCAACTTACGTGCACCCACTTATGCATGCAGATATCACAATACCGTTTATTGATGAGATGCAGTACACATACACTAAGTGCTAGTCTCTTAATGGGAAATGCCGATATTCTCATTGGTAGCGTAACCCTTCGACTAGGAACACATTTAACAGTTATAATACTAAAGTAAATATCTCACGATCATAAAGATCAATTACTAGTACTTGTAATAACTGTAAGGACTATATCTATGTTTGAGACAAATGGACAAAAATATAGAATGCCAATGTGTTTTTATCATTAATACGAAAAAAAGTTTATTTATTACAAGAATAAATGGAAAGACCACAGCCAGAAGTTGGCTTGTTGGTCACCTACTCTAACACATAGTTAGCAGGCAATTCTTCATGGTAATTCAAGATTTTATCTAATACAGTGTCACCAGGGCCGGTCCGGTATATTTGGAGGTGTCTGGCGAAATAATAAATGTTACGAGGTTTTGAGGCAGTAACCCAATCTCTGTTAGGATAGTAGACTAAAAGTCTCGCTTTTAGCTACATAATTTTATTATTGAATTAATAAAACTTTATTATCATTTTATGAGAATATGCACTAGGGTATTCAATGCATTTAATTGATTGTTTGTCAATTAATTAAAAGCATAAGTCTAATATTCTAATAGTATTCGAGATGGTGTGCTACGGTGCACAGAAATATCATTTCGAAAGTTCGTTTAAAATATAAAGATAAACGTTCAAAATCTAGATGGAAATGGACTAACCATTGGTAAAAGATTGTAGCACAATATTTAAGTGATTGGTCTTGATCACAGTAAACAGCGAATAACTTTTGTAGTTATTGTTTTGACTTATTGTGCTAGCACACCCGGCATGTGTTGAACAGGACAAAGTGAAATAATTGTTCTGTTCAAAATGAAACTGTATTATTTCTAGTTGACAGTAAATTACTTACTCTCTTAATCCCTAGATAATTAACGTACATATTTAATTGATGATCTCTACTTTGATGTCACAATGGGAGAGATTCCTATATTGAGTCAAATGGCCCCCGGTGCGTTGGGTAGAGACATTAAGAATTAATAGGTGGAAATTAATTATCGAAAGGAATCCACATCTCTGAAATATGGGATTGATAATAACCCTTGAGTAGCTTATAAGATTTGTTTATGCCAAGTCCTGGCCAGGTGGATTTCGTATCCGGCATACTCAAATAAGTTAAGCGGGTAAGACTCATGAAAAGAAACCATTTAATTTATTTAGCAGTGAATAAATTATTTGGTGGTTATAAGATTTCTTAATGTGGGGAGAATCTAAATAATGATCGACCGGAGCTCGAATGTAATATTTGAGAATATAAACGGGAGTTCAATAATTATTTGGTAGTGGAAAATAAATAATTATTTAATGATTAATTAAATGAATTCTTTTAAGAGTTTGGATTTAATTAATTATTAGTTGCCGATTTATATTTTCTCCTTTAGTCCCTATTGTAGCCCAATGGATTTTCTAATTAATCGAGAAAATAATTTCAACCAATATTATGTATTGGAAATAATATAACCAAAAATTAAGTCCCCATTGGATTATAATTTTCGACTATATAGAGTTATAGAAGGAGTGGGATTCGTTTCCATGTAATCTTCTTTATGTGTGACTCTAATTACTTGTGCTATATATAATAGAGATTGAGTTGATGAGAAAAATAATTCCTACACGCCTATTTACGTTGGAAGAGAAGAATTTTTTCTTCTTCTTTTCTCTCTAAGTTTCTCGATTATTGATTTAGATTTCTTCAAGTACAAGTCCAACCTTGTAGGAGAATTGTTAATCCGGGATATACAATAGAAGACTATAGGTTTTTAGAGCAACATTTATTCCCGAATTTTCTGAGCAGTCATGCGAAGAAAATCACCATAAACCAACCGTTAGTCGGATAGGCTCGAAATTTATACAGTAACTTCCTAACCCATAATAGTAAATCCGTCTAAAGGGTTTCTGAATCCAATCAACCATCTAGGAGATATCGTTGAAGGAAGAGAGCTATAAATTTCTGGACAGCAGCTTTTACGAAGGTTGAAGCCTTGACGTGGATCCTCGTTCGTGCGCCGAAGATAGAAACGAATCTGCTCGCGAAAACGGTAAGTTGCTAGATTAGATTTATTCCGCTTTAAACGAATCTAATCAAAGCATGTTAATAAAATTAAAACCGGCTAATCTAGAACCTCTTGCGAATTTTCATTGAATCTTGGGCTTCACATCCCAACAATCTCCCCCTATATATTATATCATGTAGATACATACTTATCAATAGAAATCTCGTTGCTAATAAAAGAATAAATATATTGCATATTTTAATTAGAATTTCATTTTTATTTGAATGATAAAAGATTGAAAAAATATGTAATAATTATCTTAATTTTAAAACATATAAATAAAAAATATATTTATTTTATTGATAAAATATAAATAAATATTTTAAGATTTTATTTTGTAACTATGTTACTAATTTTCAAAAAAATATTAATTCTAAGAAGAAAATATTTAGTATTTCTTTTCTATGAAGATGTGATATTCCATTCAAAAATATTTCAATACTAATACAAATATATTAAATTATAATTTTTACTATAAATATTTTTCAGATATAAGATTCTATTATTGTTAGATAAATTTAACATAATAATAATAATTGAAGCATTTGTAAAATAAATATATATATATATATATATAAATATACGAAAAAAATGGGGCCCTGTTTGCCCCACCCCAGGGCCGCCCCTACTAAAGGGTATATGTTCCTTAAGTTTTCAAGAGATATGGTACCGAGGGTGTCATTAGAAATGATAAAGGTAACTTTATTGCAAGCTTCTCGTCTAATTATGGTTTGGGATCTAACAATAAAGTTGAATTGCTCGTTCTACACTTGTAGAAAATGACTTTTTACTGCGATTGTTTTTGCTACGGTAAAAGTCGTAGCAAGAGGTACATTTTACTACTGGACAATCTAGAGTCGTAGTAAATGTTAGAATTTAAATTAGCAAAAAAATATTTGCTACGGCAATTTACCGTAACAAAGTTTTTGCCACCCTCGTATATACAACGAGCCAAATTCGTAGCAAATGCGCAGCAAAAGCCTTTTTACTACGAATTTAGTACTTTTTATTATGGTTAATGATCGTAGTAAAAATGAGCTAAATGCAAAAACCCCCCTTATGTTAATCCTAAAGACCAAAAACCCCCATGTGATAAAAAAAAATTGACAAAAACCCCCTCGATAAGTGTTCAAACAAGCATACTCGACCCATTTTATTTTTATCCGTTGACCGCTCGTGAAAAGACGAATAAACCCTCGGATAAATCTGTCCAACCTCAAAAATTTTATGACCCAATTGAAGTTTTTAAAATTTTCAATTTAGTCCCTAATATTTTCAATTAAGCCCTCTTCCTCAAATAAAAAAAAACACACAGACACACAAATACACACACTTTGATTTTTAATTCTATCCGCACCTCACCACACCCCACCACTGCCGTCGCCGGCTCCGTTCATGGACTAAAACCCCTCTCCGGCAACCAAGCTTCTCAACCCCTAAGAAACGAATTCCCTCTCAACTCAAAATTTCTTACAAATTATTCTAAGAAAAAGAAAAATCCAAAGTCATGATCCACAATTTCGACACCATTACACGTCGTCCCGCAACAATAAACCTTCTTCTCTCCTCAACAAAACAATCACTTAATTCCAGATTCCTCCACCCATTTTCTCCGGGCCACCCATTTCTTCGGTTTCCCCAAAACTGAAGTTTACCTCAGTTATGCATTCCGGTTTTGCCATTGTCATGGTTATTGTACTAAGTTTTTTGAGGTTTCCGGTGAACCGGCGGCCTTGGCAGTAGGGGAGGTGGGTGAGGGTGGGGCAGTTTGGGTTGGGAAGAAGATGATGAGGTGGCTTTGTATGCCATTTTCATTTTTTTTTTCTTTTTGAATCTGTTTAAACAATAATTTATATTTTTTTCATTTTATTTGTTTAAATTTAAATATTCTTAAAAATTCATGAGTAGTTTAATTGTTTCATGAGTATTGATTCAGAGGGGCAATTTTGTCCTTTCACGCACAAAATATACAAAAATCGTACAAGTAGTCGCACATACAACGAGTGAATGACACGCACAAAGATTAGGGGGTGTATGGTTTTGACTATTGATTACCGGGGAATTTTTGTCACTTTTTTTTATCTCAGTGGAGTTTTTGATCTTTAAATTAACACAGGGGAGTTTTTGCATTTAACTCTAGTAAAAAGCGTCTTTCTACTATCTTTCTACTAGTGCTAATTGAGGGTCTCAAATTATGTGTTTCTCTGCATATCACAAACCTTGAAATTGAGAGTGATTCACTTTGGGCGGTTTCTATATATGATTAATCAAGGTAGAAGGTGTTCTTGGGGTTTAGAGTACGAGGCAAGACAATATTTCAATCTTATGAGTTGCAATAATTTCATTCCCAATCACATTTATAGAGAGAAAAATTCGGTAACACATAGGCTTGAGGCGTGGGCTTATTTGCATGTTTCTTCCTAGGATTTTGCGTGTTGTGATAGTCTTGGAATATGGGATCAGCGCCGGTCCCAGGGTCTCGAAGGCCCGAGGCGAGAAACGAAAACAAGGCCCTCTTAATTACCAACTTTATTTTGACTTATCAACTCATCACAATTCCACAACTTCATCTTCAACATATTTTTGCAAGATAATTTTTCTAAATCTAAGAGCTCTGTTTGTGTTTTTTTAATAACCCAACTCAAACTTTTTTGGGGCAATTTGCTATAAGTCCCTCTACATTAGATAATATGTGTATAAATCCAAGTCAAAATTTCGATTTTTTAATAAATTAATTATATTTATTGTGGCAAAAATACCCTTAGTCAATTCAAAATCAAACCCCTAAAAAATCTCTCTACCAAATTAAATTTTCCAAAATATTTCTATCAATCAAATTCACTTAAACCTCTCTCATCCAAATTTTAACTGAAAATATAATTTGCATTATATAATTGCAAACAACAAATTACGTGTAGGATATGCATTATGCATCGTCTATATTTAATTGTAAACAACAAACTACATATATTTAATTACAATCAACAAACTGAACAATATGATATGCATAATCTATATACAAACAATAACACTAACAAAAATTAATATTACAAATTGCAGTTTGCAGTTTTCTATTCATGTTGCTAATTTATTTTGCAATTCAATTTCTTTTTGGTATTTATGGAATGAAAAACAATTAAAAAATACAAACAAAAAATAAAAGTTAACTTAAAAAAATTAAATTGAAAGAGATACAGAGAGGGGAGAAAGAGAAGAGAGAGAGGGAGAGAGAAAGAGGGGCGTGTATTTGGGAAGGGGGAGAAAGAGAAGAGGGGGAATACGATGCTACACCCGGTGAATTTCACCGGGTGGCTCTTTTCTTGACATGTGTCCTTTTTTATTTATTTTATAATTATATTTTTAAAACCCATTGGGCCATAACTGAACCCGTAGTTGAAATCTTATTAATTAGGGTGTCTGGTTATATTCACCAGGTGTAACATAGGGGGCACGTGAGAGTGATTGAGAGAAGAAGAGTAATAAGTGGGATTTGTTAACCACTTTCATATAAAATTAAGGGTGTTTTTTGTCTATACACTAATAATTAAATTTAATTTACATTAATTTTATTGGGCTAAGGACTTATACCTATATTCATCTAATAGAATGGACCTCCACCTATATAAGTCCATAATTAGGGGTGTCTAACCAATTTTCCCAACTTTTTTATTGCTCATTGTGTTGGTGAATACTCAATCTATGAAATTCCAAAATATACAATATAATACGAAAAAGTCAAATTATTAAACCCAAAATGAAAATATAAACACAAGAAGTAAAAAAAATATAGGATTGGAAACAGGGGCGAACTAGGATCAAAATGTCGGGGGCTAACTAAAATTTTTGGGTTCGGAGCAGCATCCTGAAAAAAAATTTAGGTGCACAAAACATTGCAAAAAATAAGTTTATATTACTAATTTTTAATTAAAATATCATATATATATATATATATATATATATATATATATATATATATATATATATATATATATATATATATATATATATATATATATATATATACTCCACTTAATATTTCGGAGATTCATGGCACGATCTCATCTTTTTTTTAAGGCGTTGATAAAAAAAATTCAAAAATAAGTAATATTCATAAATTTTATTTAAAATAATACAAGTTTTAACCATCTTATTTTATATTTTATATTAAATATGATATATTTATCTATAATTTACATAAGATTTTAGAGAAAAAAATAAAAAAAAATGGGTCAAAACACATATTTACAAATATTGTAGGAGGGCGAAAAGTAATTCAAAAACTTTAGTACCAAATATCTAAAAAAAAAAAATTTTGGGGGGTCAACGGCCTCCCATGCCCCTTGCAAATACCGTCAGTGATTGGAAATGAAAGAATCAAGATAATAACAGATAAAATTAATTCTTAGTTTGTGAATCAACAAAGAAGAAAACAAAAAAGAAGGGAAATAAAAAAAAATAGAAAGAAAAAAAAAATAGGGAAATTAT